AGTACACAAGTTAAATAAAATAAAAATAATATATATAAGATAATAAATTATAAAAAATAGTAAAGTAGATAATAAAATAAAATAATAAATCAAATAACTTATTATAAAATAATAAATTAAAATAATTTAAAATATTAATTTAATAAAATAAAATAATAATTTTGTAAAATTTTATTTGAATATAATAAATTATTAAATTATATTAGTTAATTATTTATTGTAATAATCTCAAATTGTATTTTTTAAATAAATTATATATATTATTTTTAATATAATAATTAAATATGTTTGAATATAATTATTTATTAAATTATTTATATTATTGTTTAATATAATAATTTAGTAAATTATTGAATATAATAATCTCAACTTTATAATAAACTAATATAGTAAAAGAACATTATTTGAAAATAATAATTTAATAAATTATTGATATTATTTTGAATATAATAATTTAATAAAATACTTATATATTTTTTAATGTAATAATTTAATAATTTTTTTATAATAATATCAAAAAATCTTTTTCATTTTATTATATTCAATTAAGATTTCTATTCATTTTAATTTATTTTTCATAGTAAGTTATTTCATTTATTATTTTATTTTATTTTAAGTTACTTTTTTATACTTTATTATATTTTATTATATTATTCTTATTTTATTTTAACTAGTGTATTTTAATCTAGTTAATTTTTGAATTTAATTTAATTATTATTATTTTTTATTTTCAAATTTTTATAATAAATTTTATTGTAATAAATGAGAAATATATAAAATTTATTTAAATTTATTTTAATTTAAATGCCCTCTACTATAATTTTTTTATCTTACTTTATTTTAATTTATTTATTATTTAATATTATAATTTATTTATTATATTTTAATTATTATTAGTTTATATCTTATTAATATAATTTATTTTATTATTTATATTTAATTCGATTTATTCATACGCAGTGTCTATATATATTAGACATATTAAATTTATCATATAACTTGAACTAGTGTGATGGTTACAATACCATCATGTAGCCTTAATGTCCCAAGTTTGAACCCTAGTGATATTTTTATTTTTTATTTCCATGTCAGCAAACAAAACCCGGAATTAGGCCCTGTGATTCGAATTGCCAACAATAGTCAAAGTGGTGTATATATTTGTTAAATTCCAAAAATTCGGTTAAAATATCAAAAAATTGTAAGGTCGTGATATTACCGGCAATTAGGTATTTTTTCCCTAAAAAAAAATAAAATACATAAAAAATGCAAAATTTATATATCTCATATTTTAAAGTATAATATTTGTACGACTTTTTTTTATTCACAAAAAAAAAAAGAAAA